AATGCATTTCTTGGCCAAGTATGGCTTATAATCCCAGAAATTTGAGGCTAGCCAAGGCTACGTAGCTTCAGGCTACTCTTCATTGTACATGGCCTGACACCATCTCACACAAAAATGACCCATGTTTATTATTCCTTTTTGCTCATTTTCCTTTTTCCCTTCCTTTTATCCTTCCTTATTCCTAATGTTACAAGGGCATTGTTTGCAAAATCAAAAACTGTATCTTTTGAGATATTTACTGAAATCAGTCTGCTATTGTTTGTTTGCTTTGTTTTAAGACAGGATCTCACTTGTAGCTCTGTTTGTTCTCAAACTCACTATATTCACCACGCTGGCTGGCCTCAAACTCACAGAGACCCACCTGCCCCTGCCTCCCAAGTGCTAGGACTAAAGGCAAGCACACTACACCCAGCTTTCTGTCTGCTTATTCAACAATTAATTATAGTAATTCAATGGCTTCCTTTAGTTAATAATAAACTATTTATGACATTTTTCCCCTTGGGTAACTGAAATATTAAAAGCATACATTAAAACATTTTCTAAAGTAAAAAGTTCATACTGGCATAGATCATCCTGTGCCTAGAGGAAGCTAGAGTTCACCAGCAGGTGTGTAATGGCTGGTCATCGATATTTGTGTGAAGTCTATTAGCACCACCTTGTGCTATTTCCAAACCAACGCAACACACTATCTCTGTGAACAATGCCATTTGAATTTTAAGCAGTTGCATTTTGGTAAATCCAACTGGATTTTTTTTTTCCTTTGGGTGATATGGCTTCATGTATTTGCCAGATTATGGGCAGTGAGGGAATGTCTTTAAATGTGTTTTCATTTCTTATCTCCAGCTCCATAATCAGATGCAACTTCATGATAGAAAGGCAAATAAATAGTTGATATTCAAACTGATAGAGAACCTTATGCAGACATGGTTCCTGGCTAGGCATGAAGCTATTTGAAAATCAAACCTCTTCTTCTTCCTCTTCTTCTTCTTCCTCTTCTCCTTCTGCTTCTTTTGTACAATTTATATAAGCATGACCCTTCCAGGAGAGGAGCCACCATGGTGCTGTCACCATTGTCAGATTACTGTGACACCTAAACTTAGTGTCTAGGTTTATTTAGCACAAGTTCTTGAAAAAAAATTTTAAATGATACTATAGTTGTGTGTGGTGGGATATTCCCAAAATCTCAGCAATGGGGAGTCTGAGGCAGAAGGAAGCTGAGTGTGAGGCTCACCTGGGCTACATAGTGAACACAAACAATGACAAGTAAGAGAACAGCTTTATTTAAGGCAGAGAGAAATTTTAGTGGTCTGGAGAAAGTAAATCAGCCCCAAACACTTCCTAAATCCAAAGCCTAATCTCTATCAAGGCGCCATAATTCTCTATAATTCTGTGAAGGCTAAGAAAGGCAAGCAAGCTGTAAAAGAATGGCTTGAAGCCAGCAAAAGTGGTTCATGAGGATAAAGAAAGCCTGCCTCTTCTGTCACAATAGTGCAGGTAAAGCCACAAGCAAGAATGCAGAAACATACGTGTACTTATCCAGCTCTGGATAGGGCCACTGATGAAAGTGGCTGCAGAAAATAACAGAGTCTCGGTATAATCAAAATTTCTCTGTAAGAAGTTGTTGGCATTTCGGATGCTCAGTGTCACAAAGAAGTCAGTTCTTGGCTGGTGACTTTAAGTTGACATGAAAGCTCATTTGCTATTCTGAAAATACTAGTTCCCTTAAAAAGTAGACTAGCCAGGCACGGTGGCACATGTCTGTAAGCACTTGGGGAGGCAGAGGCAAGTGGATCTTTGTAAGTCTGAGGCCAGCCTGGTCTACAAAGTCCAGGACAGCCAAGACTACAAAAAAAAAAAAAAAAAAAAAAAAAAAAAAGGAGTCTAAATCTCTTCAGTAAGAGCTGTGTAACAGCAAATCCTGGATGACAGTACATCTGTTTATAATATGGTTTAATGAATGTTTTAAGCTCACTGACTAGGAAAAAAAAAACATTTGTCTTTTGAGACAGGGTCTCATTGTGTAGCTCTGGCTGTCCTGGAACTCATTATGTAGACTTGGATGATCTTGAACTCATAAAGTCCAACTAACTGCTGAAATTAAATGCACACATGGCAAAAATATTTCTTTATAGGAGAAGAGTAGGGGATTAATTTTTTTTTTTTTTTTTTTTTTTTGCCATCCCTTTTCGTTGATAATGTACCTGGTCACTTAAAATAACTGGTAAAAACAACTCAGATTAATGTTTGCAAGTCTAGTAACATAATGTCCATTCAACAACTCATGGGTCAAGGTCTAATTTCATAATTCAAGCCATATTATTTATGTATGTTATAAGACGATAGCAGCTATAGTCCAACTTCTCTGATGGTTCTGGGCCAGATACTCTTAAAACATTCTGGAAAGGGCTCAACACTCTACGTGTCATTAAAAGGATCTGTGATTAATGGAATCAAACCTAAACGGAGTTTGGAAACAGTCATAGTTCTTATGGATGACTGAAGTTTCAGAACTCCGGTGGAAGAAGCAAGTACGAATGTAGAGATGCCAAGAGAACCGGAATCAGGCCCTGATAGCGTGGCCAAATTGCTGCAATCTTATGACAAGACTTTAAGGGAAGTTGTTTCTTACAAGTGGGCAAGTCAAGTGGCCTCTTGAGACGGGATTTATTCATGGCAAATATGCCATAAACATCCTTAAAATGACAACAGAGGAATTATAATTCATACTATAATGTAAATTCGTAAGTTTCAGGTCATAAAACAATGACAAAGTTTAAGAAAATTGACTCTAGGACCTGGGAAGACGGCTCAGCATGGAAGGGCACTTCTTACGGAAGCATGATGTCTAGAGTTCAAATCCCCAGAACTTGTTTAAAAAGCTGAGTGTTGCCAGGTGGTGGCAGCACACACCTTTAATCCCAGCGCTCAGGAGGCAGAGGCAGGAGGATCTCTGAGAGTTCGAGGACAGCCTGATCTATAGGGTGAGTTCCAAGACAGACAAGGCTACATAGAGAAGGACCATCTCGAAAAACAAAACAAAACAAAAGTTGAGTGTGGTCACACATGTAACACCATTTGTGGGGGAAAACTCAGAGGACCACTGGGGTTTGCTGGCTGTTAGCCTGGCTTTAGTTTCAGTAAGGGAACCTGTCTCAAGAAAATAAGGCAGAGAGGGATAGAGTAGGATGCTTGATATCCTCCTCTGGCCTCTTAGTAGGTGCACAGATTCTTGCACCTGTACAGAGAGTGTGCATGTATGGCAGAAATATAATATGCACTCTCACCATATACACTATACACAGTCACAAACATATACTCCCTACAGAAGGTGATATTTAATACCAAGCATTAAAAGAATGAGTAGCTATTTGCCACATGTGTATCTCACTGCTGATTGGTTGCTATGTCGATAACTAGCAAAAGCAACGTGACACTGTGAGGTAAGGTAGAGAACTTGGATCCAGGCTGTAGACTCATCTGAAGGAGTCATGAAAATTAACAAAGGCCATTAAAGACTGACATTTAGCTAGGTGGGTGTACTGGTATACTCCTTATAATTTCAGCATTGGAAAGAGGAGGCTGAGGTAGAAAGATACGGAGTTTGAAGCCAGCCTGGGCAACAGAGAAAGGACCTTTTAATTAAAAAACAAAAAACAAAATTAAGCTGGGTGTATTGTGCACGCCTGTAATCCCAGCATTCAGGTAGGCAGTGGCTGTCTGATTTCTGTAAATTCAAGGCCAGCCTAATCTACAAAGCAAGTCCAGGACAGCCAAGGCTACACAGAAAAACCAAAAACCAAACCGACCAAACAAACAAACAAACAAAGAAACCCACAACTTAAATTCCATCCTGGAAAGGAAAAAAGTTTATATTTTGGTCTTTTCTCCTTTCATATTTCCATTTCTTTGTTAATTTTTTTTCTTTTGCTCTTGCATCCACTTCTCTATTTAAAACTAGTTCCTATCAAATTTGATTGCTGTGTGTGTGTGTGTAGGACAAATTGAATGAAAGTGAGAAGTTAGAGAGTGGACAGTGGTGGAAGACAAGCAAGTGCTCCGAAACTGCTTTTAGTCGGGTAAAATAGCTGAAAATGTGATCATAAAACTCTTCAGCTGAATTCAAATTTCAGTTCCATTTGCTCGTGTCCGTTAACCTAGAATGTATGAAATGGGACGACAGCAACCTTTTAAAGGGTTGTTCTCTGGACCAAACACTCCATCTTAATAAACTAAGCGCCAGCGGGGCCACAAGGTAAACACCCAGTTTACTTTGGCATTAATTTTTATTCAAAGCTTAGTCTAGCCTCAGCAAATTCTTGTCACACGAATGTATTAGTGAATTAGTGGCGCCCTCACACACAGGATTACTTTAGGGAAGCAGAGAAGGATGCTCGGGCACTGAACATTTTGGGCGCTGTAAAGACCTTGCTTTTAATAAAACCGGTAACAGCACAACGACTCTCAGCGGAAGCTGATTTACACTTTCAAAGCCAAAGGGGCGAAGGGATCAAGAAAATCCTCCTAAAATGTGTTTTGAGAAAAGTCTGTTTAATTTCCCGAGGGCCGTGGTCGACCAAAAGTAAGGTCACTCGGCGAGGGGAGTGACACCGGTCCCAGGTCCCTTCTGGCCCCGGAACGACAGGACTCTGAGGTGTCGAGTTCGCCATTTCTCCGCTCCCGGGGGGTGGGGTGGGGGCGTCGCGGAAGTCAAGGCGGCGGCAGCGACCTCAGGTCGGGGTCGCCTTCACCTCGGCCTAAAGGACGCAATCAGCGGTCTGCGTACCGAAGGAAGCGTTACACCTCCGACGGCCACGAGAAACGCCGAGCCCAGCCGCCGCGAGCCTGCCACTGCCCATTGGTCGCCCGGAGCACTAAGTCCCGCCCCCAGGTTTGAAAGCCGTTTCCGGAGCCCGGCCGCGAGCTAGCGCCGCTCCCCCGGCCTCCGCGGAAGCTCCGCCCACTCCCAGGGTTCAGTGCGGGCCCTGGCCGCCATTGTTTGAATTTGAAAACGGGGGAGGTTTTGGAGCTGCCGGTCGGTGTCAGGGACAGGCGATGCTACAGGTGAGGAGCTGACGCTTACGTGGGTGCAGAGGGTGGCTGCTTGCACAGACGGCCTGAGACTGCGCCGCCGCGGCCGGGTCAGCGTTGACGGGGCTCGTGACGCCCGTAGTCTAGGAGCCGGGCTGCCGAAGGGGGGACTGAGCCGCACCTTTTGGGTAGGTGATCTCTCTAGGCCTCGGTTTCCTGGTCCTTTAAAGATGGTCCACGTTAGGTTCAAAGGCACCAATACTTGTATAGGTTAGGAAAAAGACTTTCGCCACATCTGGCTGCCCGAATTCCGGAGGTTAGCAGTTGTTTCGGCACGTGACAAGGTCTCTTTCTAGGCAGAGCCCAGTGGTGTTTTTTTTTTTTTTTTTAATGTCACATCACTTTGTGGCTAGGAAATAAGTTTATTTGGGTTTTATGTGTGTATAAAGAAAATGGGAAGTGAACCAGTTTTAGGTGGGCGCTTGTGTTGACGTATATTTTGAGCCTGCCGCGAAGAGTCAAGAAACGTGATCCAATGCCCATTTTCTTAAATTGGGAATCACTGCTAGATGCTTTGAGAAATAAGAGAGAAGTGTCCTTTTATCTCTGGTATTGTGCATGTGTAGATTCTTAAATATATCAATGTTGATTGTGGGGGGCGGGTCAGGTTTACACTGTAGGGATTTGATGTTCAATTCAGATTGAATAGTTAAGTGATAGCATTATTCCACATTAGTTCAACACTTGTGATGTGTCCGTTACTAATTCTTTGTAATATTGTTAATATTAATTTGTTTTATTTTGTGGGGTCCCAGGCCATGGACTCCAGAGCTTCGGGTGCTCAGAGTTGCACTCTGCTTACTGTCTGGGCCCAATTCTCAATTTTAAATGCAAAGTTTATATGCATTGTTTCACTTTTTACTTAGACTTGGAAGAAATCAAATTGAAAGTCATTTTGCAGATAACTGAGTTTCAGTCCTAAGTGTTAACCTTTGGTTTGCAAAAATTTTCAGAAGATACTGAGGAATGAAAATAGCACAAGATCTTAATTCATCCCATGGTCTCTGTTTGATTTCTCAGAGGACAGTTTCAGGCCAAGTGAACATTTCATACGTTCTTCTTTTACTAATTGCATTTGTTCATGACATGTCTTTGGATGAAAATATCTACAAAAATGTATTATATGAATAGTTGTAGGTAGTGCTCAATACTAGTGTATTCAGAATCTATAGATGTAATTTGGCCTTTTGTCTTTTCACAGGTCATAGCACTGTAAATGAAGCAGTCTAATGTTTTCTTTCCCTGAAATCTAATGTATTTTTTTTTTGGGGGGGGGGAGAGGGGAGGAGCAGTAGTGGGTTGGATTGTAGAAATTATTTTTTTATATTAATCAGTTAATTTGAGACAAGGCCTCACTATATGGATCAGGCTGGTCTCAGAACTCACAGAGATCCACCTGCTTTGGCCTTGGAGCCTGGGTGGGGTGGGCTCATGCTGTCATGTCCAACCTATTTTTATTTTTATTTATTATTATTATTATTTGTCTTTGAGACAAGGTCTTTGGTCTAGACTGTGTAGCTAAGATGACTTGGAACTTCTGATTTTTCTCCTCCAACCCCCTAGTGCTGGGATTATAGGTCCATGCCACCAGACCTTGTTTATGCTTGGGATGGAACCCAGGGTTTTGTGCATGATAGGCAAGCTACAAACCTAATTACAGCAAGTTCCTTGGAGTGTACACTTCGATTGTGGGTGACTTATGTGCTGATTTATTAAGGTTGCCTAAATGGGTTGCTGCTCTTGTTACAGAATGGAATCTCACTTGAATCAAGATGTGTTGCCTAGACCGTCTTATGTTTTTAGTGCTGACCCAGTTTCAAGGCCTTCGGAAATCAATTTTGATGGTGTTAAGCTTGATCTCTCTCATGAGTTTTCCTTAGTCGCCTCAAACCCTGGGGTAAGTACAATGTAAGAAAAAAGCTGCTGATTATTGTGCTCCAGGAAAAACATGTTTATGTCACAAACAGTTTCCATAAACTTAGATTTAAAGCAGATTTGTATCTTGGCTTTTCTCCTCCACCTTTTTTTTTTTTTTTTTCCCTTTCCTTCTTTTTTCCTGAGATAGGGTTCCTTTGTGTAGCCTTGGCTCTGCTAGAACTCGAACTGTAGACCAGGCCGGTCTTGAACTCATCTGGGTTCAAGGGTCTGCACCATCACTGCCCAGCTGTATCTTGGCTTTTCAGTGAAGCCTTGGGACAAAAGAAACACATAACAGTTCCTTTTCAAACAGTGGGTATAAAGAACTTAGCATGTCTATATCCTTGTCCTAAACTGGAAAAAAAAAAAATTTGAAAAAAAATTAAATAAGAAAGCTCAGGTTTTAATTCTTTGGTGATTAAGCTAATGGTGGGATATTCATGTAGCTTAATTGATTGAAATATATACTTTATTATGCTGCTCTGGGTCTGAAATTGCAGTGTGTCTATTGTGATGCAAATATTCCAAAATGCTTCTCATCCAGTAAACAGCTGATATGGTCATAGGAAAGCAGGGTCACCTCGGAAATCATCAGCTGAAGGTTTTCAGCCTGTGTCACCAGTAAATCTTTCTGGTAGTAGGAAATGTCCAGTTCATGAAGCATGAAAAATAAACATTGAAGTCAGGTAGTAGCACTGCTTCTTTTTCAGAATTGCTCAGCAGGATTCTATGTAATTTATACTTTACCTTTCTATATGAGGTTTAAAATGAGTTTGTCAGTTTTTTTCATATAAGCTTTGTGGAAGAAAATAATTGAATGCATTGAATCTATGTATCAGTTTGAGAAACATTCATCATAACAGGATTGAGTGTTCCAAATAGTGAGCAAACCATGTCTTTAATTTCTCTGCATAGTGATTTGTAGCTTTCAGTGCATGTAGGTCTTTTCTCTCATCTATTTCTGTTTTAGAATTTTTAATATTCTTGTGAATGGTGTTGCATTTAAAAATAACTGATCCCGTTGTAGATAACAGTTGTTGATTTTTGCAGAATTAATTTGTATCATGCTACAGTAGTGAACTCCTTTCTTTTTTATCTTTTATCTTCTATTTCTTTTTCATGCTCCCTCCATCTACTTTAGATGTCTTATTTCCTTTTCTGAGTTTATGCCCAGAAGTGGTATAACTGGGGCATAAAGTAGAACTATTTCCAGTTTCCTGACAAAGTGCCAGATTGATTTCCAAAGTGGTTGTATAAGTTTGCACTCCCAGCATCCTTGCCTACATGTGCTGTCATTTGAGTTTTTTTGTTTTTTTTTGGTCCCTATACTGCAAATACTTAAAAAAAAAAATTTTTTTTTAATATTAATTACATTTTGTTCATTTTGTGTCCCAGCTGTAGCCCCTTCCCTCATTTCCTACCAATCTCGTCCTCCCTCATCTCTACCCTTGCCCCTCTCCAAGTCCACTGATAGGGGAGGTCCTCCTCCCCTTCCATCTGACCCTAGCCATTCAGGTCTCATAAGGACTGGCTGCATTGTCTTCCTCTGGGGCCAAGCAAGGTTGTTCGGATAGTAGACATAGGATAAACATACTGAAATCTGTACACCTAAAGAAGCTAAGCAAGAAGAAGGACCCTGGGTAAGATGATCAATCCTTACTCAGAAAGGCAAATAGGATGGACATCAGAAGAGGGAGAAAACAGGGAACAGGACAGGAGCCTGCCACAGAGGGCTGTTGAAAGACTCTACCCAGCAGGGGATCAAAGCAGATACTGAGGCTCATAGCTAAACTTTGGGCAGAGTGCAGGGAATCACTTGAGTTTTTGATCTAGCCATTCTGTCTGGAGTAAGATGGAATCTCAGAGTCAATTTGATTTGCATTTCTTTGATGGCTAATGACACTGAGCATTTCTTTTAGTGCTTCTCAGCCATTAGAGATTCCTCTTTTAAGAATTCTCTGTTAAGATCTGTACCCCATTTTTTAATTGGGTTATTTGGTTTGTTGGTGTTTAATTTCTTGAGTTCTTTATATATTTTGAATATTAGTCCTTTGTTGGATATAGGGTTGGTGAAGATATTTTCCCAATCTGTAGGCTGCCTTTTTTTTCTGTTGACAGTGTCCTTTGCCTTACAGAAGCTATTTCCTTAGGGGTTATAAGTCTATTTATTGTTGTTTACTGATCTTGATTTAACTTTGGTAAGTGGTATCTATCAAGAAAGTCATCCATTTCATTTAGATTTTCCAATTTTGTGGAGTACAGGCTTTTTGAAGTAAGTCCTAATGAGTCTTTGGATTTCCTTAGTATCTGTTGTTTTGCCCCCCTTTTCATTTCTGAAAATTTTGATATTCTCTTTGCCTTTTAGTTACTTTGTCCAAGGGTTTCTCTATCTTGTTGGTTTTCTCAAAGAAGTAGCTCTTGGTTTTGTTGATTCTTTGTTCTTTGTTTCTAATTTATTGGTTTCAGCCCTGAGTTTGATTATTATTTTCTATAGTCTACTCTTTTGTGTGTTTGCTTCTTTTTGTTCAGGTCTGTTTTTAAATTGCTACTATGAGATCTCCCCAATTTCTTTTTTATTTTATATATATTTTTGGTTTTTTGAAGGCTGTCTGTATAGAAGACCAGCTGACCTGGAACTCAGAGCTCTGGCTCGCTCTGCACTCAGCTGGCATTAAAGGCTGTGCCACCAAGCCTGGGTCTGGCGAAGGCGGTTAGTGCTATGAACTTTTCTGGTAGTACTGTTTTCATTGTGCCCCCTAAGTTTGAGTATGTTGTACTTTCATTTTCATTGAATTCCAGAAAGTCTCTAATTTCTTTCTTTCTTTCTTCCCTGATTCCTAGTGGTCACTGAGTTCTGTTGTTTCTGTTGATGTTGAAGTCCAGCTTTAATCCTTGGTCTGATAAGAACAAGGAGTTATTTCAGTTTTCTTTGAGGCTTGCTTTGTGACAGACTATATGGTCAATTTTGGAGAAGGTCTGAGGTGCTGAGAAAAGATGGTATATTCTTTTGTGTTTGGGTGAAATGTTCTGTAGATATCTGTTAGGGCCATTTGAGTCATAATGTTTAGTTTCATCATTTCTATGTTTAGTTTCTGTCTCGATGACCTGTCCATTGGTAAGAGGGGGGTGTTGAAGTCTCCCACTATTAATGTGTGGGTTTGATGTGTGATTTAAGCTTTATTGATGTTTCTTTTATGAATGTGGATGGCCTTGAACTTTTGTGTATAACTTGCAGGATTCAAGTTTTGATATTCCTGTTTTATCGTCAAAGTAGCTGGGAGTTTAGGTGTCTAGATTTGTTGTATTTCTGTTTTGCTTGTTTAGGATTTATTTCATGTGTCTCTGAGTGTTTTGCCTGAATGTATATATGTACACCATGCTTTTTTGGTGCTCTAGGAGGTCCAGAAGAAGGTGTCAGATCCTCAAACTAGAATTATAGGTGGTAGTGAGCTCTGAAAATTGATCTCAGGTCCTCTGCAAGAACACTAACACTGTTAATCTCTAAGCTGGCCTTCCCCCATTTTCCTTCCTTTTTTTTTTTTTTTTGAGACAGGGTGTTATTATGTAGCTCTGGCAAGCCTGGACCTCACTTTGTAGAGCAGGCTGGCCTCAAACTCACAGGTCTGCCTGCCTCTGCACCACCACCATCCAGCCCAGCCCAATTTTCTTTTTCTTTTTTAATTTACAAAGTAGTTTAAAAATATAATGGTGCAGGGCTATAATCAATCTCAGTACCTGAGAGGCTGATATACAAGAATCATGATTGAGTAGCTGGTTCACAGCTTAAAGGGAATTGTTGATGCCTGGACACCAGTGTTTGATCCTTAAGGCCCACATAGGAGAAGGAGAGAACCAACTCTTGAAAGTTGTCCTCCGAACTCCATGTGTTATCCAAGACATCCCCTCCCCCCGAAAAAAAATAAAACAAAACAAAAGACAGCACTTCCATCAAAAATTGTGAATCTTTGGCCAGCTTCAGCCATGGAACAAGACCTTGGTTGTAGAAACACTAAGAAACAAAACCTATAAAGGTTAGTAACAATAAAAATTCTGTAGATCATTATATAAGCGATCATTCATATAAAGACAGTTAATCTCTGAAAAGTTATGTTCCTGTACTTTTTAATAAATGGCTTGTTTTATTTCTTTCTCTCTTTTTTTTTTCTTTTAGTCAAACAGTTTGGGATCTAAAAATTACCTCCGAGTTTGTCTTCGAATAAGACCATTTACACAGTCAGAAAAAGAACATGAGGCTGAGGTTTGTGTTGAATTTAGTTATATTTTAATGTTTTGCTTTCATTCAACAAATGCTATTCTTAGTATGGGTATTCTTTCTAGGGCTGTGTGCAAGTTCTAGATTCACAGACTGTTCTGCTGAAAGATCCTCAAAGCATCCTTGGCCAGTTAAGTGAGAAGAGCTCTGGGCACATGGCACAGAAATTCAGTTTTTCTAGGGTAAGTAAATACCCTGGGAACCTGAGGAATTGTGTGTGAGGGCTGTGGGGAACTATAGAGTGGACTGAGTGCCTTGTACATGTAAAGCACATACCCTGTCCCAAACGTCCATCCCAGCTGCCTGCTCCTTGCCCCGTGGCTTCTTACTTCTCTTTTAATTGGGTGAGACTTGGCTTGGGCTCACTTGCTGTATAATTGTGTGCACTGAAGTTCATACTCTGTGCTCATAGAACTTCAGTCTTTGCCAATTTTTTTCCTGAAACTAAGACTGGTGTCTGTACACTTATTATTTAAAGTGAGTAAATCACTTTATTGACCTTGAATAAATCACTTCATTGACCTTTTTGATTTTTTGAGACAGTGTTTCTCTGTGTAACCTTGGCTGTCCTGGACTCACTTTGTAGACTAGGCTGGCCTCAAACTCAGAGATCCGCCTGCCTCTCCCTCCCCAAGTACTGGGATTACAGGCGTGTGCCACCATGCCTGACCTTCACTGACCTTTTTAGTCTATTGAAAAATGGTCTTTAAAACTGAAGAAAAATCGTTTGGCTGAGTGTGTGAGATTTCTATCTTAGAGTTATTTTGTAGTTAAATTTTACTTACTGTATGTGCCTTCCATAGTGCACATGTGAAGGACCTTGCAAAAGGCGTTCCTCTTTCCATGTGCTTTTCAGGGACCTAATCAGGTGGTTAGCCTTGCTGGCAGGTAAGCCTGTTGAGTCATTTTTCCAGCTTTGAAGCTTCTGCCCTAAAGATTTGTTTGATAGCAGTTAAATGCCTGTCGGTGTGTTTTTGTGGTTTGAGATATGGTACCTGTTTTGAATAAATATTTCAAAGCCAATGTTTGATAGTTTCGGAACATGAATTTTCTTAAGGGTCATATCTTAAAAATGCTGTTACAGGTTTTTGGACCTGAAACTTCACAGAAAGAGTTTTTTCTGGGTTGCATTATGGAACCAGTAAAAGACCTCTTGAAAGGACACAATCGGCTGATCTTCACATATGGGCTGACTAATTCTGGAAAAACATATACATTTCAAGGTAAATATTGTTTATTTTGACTAGAAAAGAAAAAGATTCATTAGTATTTATTCAGTATTATCTTGTTAAAATTTATTTTTATTTTATATTCATTGTTGTTTTGCCTGCATATATGTCTGTGGGAGTGAGAATCTCTGGAACTAGAGTTACAGACAGGTGTAAGCTGCCATGTAGGTGCTGAAAATTGAGCCTGGTCTTTTGGAAGAGCAGCCAGTGCTCTTAACCACTGCAAGCCATTGCTCTAGCCCCACAGTGTTTTCATAATTGCCTGTAGTTATATTTCCTTCATCTAGTCCATATTTTTTACTTTTACTAAATTTTTTATTTAAAGAATATAATCACATCATTTCTTCCTGTCCAGCACGTTTTATATCCTTTAAACTGTTCCTTCTCAAATTCATGACCTTATTTTTTTTAAATTATTATTGTTAAATTATATGTGTTTTAGAGTTTTTATTGCTATGAAGAGACACCATGACCATGGCCACTCTTATGAAGGAAAATATTTAATTGGGGCTGACTTACAGTTCAGAGGTTTAGTCCATTATCGTCATGGTGGGGATCATGGCAGTGTGCAGGTAGACATGGTGCTGGAGACAGAGCTAAGAGTTAGACATCCACAGCAGCAGAGAGCAGGCTTGAGCTTCTGAGACCTCAAAGCTCCCTCACCCCCACAGTGACACACTTCCTCCAACAAGGCCACATCTCCTAATAGTGCCACTTTCTATGGGTCAAACTTTCAAACGCATGAGTCTATAGGGACCATTCCTATTCACACTATCACATATACATATGTAAGCATAACCTGCTGAACCTGTTAACTGTTGCGTATATGTCTATGTTCTGAAGGCTTTTAAGCAAGTTTGTGTAAGAAGTATTGGAGCTGAAGATGTTAGTGTGCTCCTTTAGTTCCAGCACTTAAAAGGCAGAGGCAGGCTGCTCTTTGAGTTGCAGGGCAGCTTGGTCTATGTAGTGAGTTCCAGGCTGGCCAGAGCTACACAGTGAAACCTTATCTTAGACAACAACATAAAAGTATTGGTTTCATTTTGCCATTTTCATACATATGTCATTGTAATTTGTTCTTTTCATTTCCCCCTTTATCATTCACCCATCCCCCAAGCTGTCCTTTTCTGGTCCTCTTCCTTCTCTCAAATAGTCTTTCCTTCTGCTTATATGTTATAGATATAAAATGTGTGTGTGTGTGTGTGTGTGTGTGTGTATAGTCTATAGCCCTCTCTTTTTGCCTTCTCTTTCCTTAATATCTTTTTAATATCACAGTTTTTTTTCCTGCTGATATTCTCTCTGTCTTTTTCAATTTAAATCTAGATTTTACATATGAGAAGTACACACACTTGGTTTCTGCATTTAGCTTATTTCCCTGAACATAGTGATGTTCATTTTGTTGCTGGACAAAAGACTTTACAAATTGTACCACCTTCCCAGGTGCATTTATCCTTTTCTTGTCCTAAGGAAGTTAAGGACCACCTTAACCTGGTCACACACACAACTTCTAGCCCTCTTATCTGGAAGTCCTCTCAGTTTTTGTAAGCGTGTCACATATGTTGCTGATAGTATTTAATTCAGATATATATAAAAGTTTTTATACCTATGATAGAAAGTTAAATATTTTTAAGAATTGAGATATGCTTCAGAGAATTAGCATGGAATAAATGAGACACTTCGTATTTTATTTTGTAATTATGGGTGATAGGAAATCATAATATTAGGACTAGATCTGAGTGTAAAAATTCTTCCTATTGAATCAAAATATGTTGATAATACAGTAAAGACTATAATGATAGAATAATTCCTTAGCTTGCTTATTAGTACTAAAAGGGACTTTGTTAATCTAAAAAAGTTGCCTTTTTCCTATCCTTTTATAGGCACAGATGAAAACATTGGCATTCTGCCTAGAACACTGAATGTATTGTTTGATACTCTTCAGGAAAGACTATATATGAAGATGAACTTCAAACCCCATAGATGTAGAGAATATTTACGGCTATCATCTGATCAGGAGAAAGAGGAAAGTGCTAACAAAAATGCATTGCTGCGACAAATTAAAGAGGTACGTCAATATTTTAGTACATAAAATAAAAATCATGAATTTTTTTGTTTGTTTGTAAACTTTTAGGATAATTTTAACCTGTATACTGTAATCTGTTTTTGGTCTTGGTGGCTTTTTTTTTGTTTTCAGGGAAAAAAAAATAAGGCAGCAAATGGCAATATTAGGTAGAAATGGTCTGTTTTGCTATAGGATTAGTATTTTACTTTTAAAATATTTATTAAATATTAATCTGAAAATAATACAAATAAAAAGAATTAAAAGAATGTAAAAAATGAAGTGTTCTTAAGACAGGCTCCTTAAGCTCAGCTGACCTCAACTTTGCAGTTTTCCTGCCTCTGCCTCCTGAGTGCTAGACTTACTGGATGTACTACATACCTGCTTCATGCAGAGAGCTTTCTGTCTCTCTGAAATGAATATACATATGCAGTGTCTTCACATTTTATTTTTCTGATACTGGTTATTTGAGCCAGGCTCTCAGATGCACTTATATGGTAAGCGCTGTAACACTGAGCTACATTCTCACTCCCTTTTTGTTAGATGTAGAATACAGTTTTTCTTTTAAACAGAAGAGAAATATTATTATTATTTTAAATAACGTTTCTCATTTAGGATAAGTCTGACTTAAATCTTAGTACAAACATTGGTGTCTATTAGCAGTTAAATTTGTGTATTTAACTTACTTATTTCCTTAAAAAACAAACAGCTTCAAAATCTAATTTTGTACCAATGAACCTAGTAGTCAGTGCTTCAGTGAGGGAACATTCTATTTCGAATATATTTCCTGTTAATTTCAAGAGATTAAGAGTGAACACTTTCTGTTCCTTTCATGGCCTTTGACTCTCTGTCTACTTGCCTTCACTCTATGGTGGGATTACAAGCATGTGCTGCAACACTTTGCCCTGAGAGTGATTTACAAGTCTGTAGGTAGTCACTTAAACAATGGTCTCAGCTCAGCTGTTTATGTTTCTTTATAAATGAGTTAATTATTACATCTTAGAATTTTTTTCCTGTGAATTTTCAGGTGTTCTTTGCCATTTGATTTATTCTTTTCTTAAGAACTCATTTGTTAAAATAAGTCATAAGGGCTGGAGATTTAGTTTTGTTGATTTCTTGTTTATTTTGCTTTAAATATGTACCTACACACATAATTTTTTATGTGTGTGTTGTGTATGTGAGAATGCTGGTGCACATGTGCCAAGGTACATGTGTGGAAGTCAGAGGACAACTTGGAAAGTTGGTACTTTCTTTCTGGTCTTGTTTCTGGGGATCAAAATCAGGTCATCAGGTTTGTGTGACAAATGCTTTAGCTGCTGAGCCACCTCACTGGCTTTTATTTGTTTTTTAATCTTCATTGATGTGTACATCTTTATTAATGCACTGTAATCTGGGACTTTTTTAAAAAAAGTGTGTGTGTGTGTGTGTGTGTGTGTGTGTGTGTGTGTGTGTGTGTCTGTCTGTCTGTGAAGGTTGTAGGAAAATTATACGAGTATGTGTGTCATGGGTATCTATCTTACTATGACTCACTACGAGGGTCATGGGTATCTATCTTACTTAGATTATCAGGTTTGGCAGCAAGTGCCTGTTCCCTCTGAGGCATTTCACTGACCCTGGATCCAGGAAGTTACAAGATAGTGGGGGGCTTCTTGTTACTGTGGACTTAATACAAAATCTCAAGGTGATCTAGGGTATCACGTGGCAGAGGAGTACAGGCCCAAACAGGCCTTATAGCTCACCAGTTTGAAATAAACCATTAATCACTGCAGCTTTGGCTTGGAACTTGCTATGTAGACCAGGCTTGTCTTGAACTCACAAAGATCTGCCTCTAACTGCTGGTGTTGAAATTAAAGGAGTGAACCACTGTGCCTGGCCTCCCAGTAATCCACAGTGGAGGTTCTTTTCCAACATAAAATTTAGTGGGAACTTTCAAACTATTGTATAGACTGACAAATAGAAAAGTAAATACACAGTATGCTATGGAGGGTTGCTATTTTATGTAAGATAGTACCTTATTAGTTTCAAAGAATTTCAAAGTAAATTTATCTTCTGTCTTTCTGGGTTTTAAATTTTCAGATATTGTTAAAGATAAAAAAAAATCCCCATTAATTTGTTTTAATTGGTACTTTAAAAATGTTAATGATTTTCCTCTTTAAGACTGTAGGAGTGGTCATCAGTTGGGTCTGGTAGCCTGTGCCTGTAGTTCTAAATTACTCCAGATCCTGAGGCAGGAGCATTCCTTGAATGTAGATATTTAGTGCCAGCCTGGAAAACATAGCAAAATCCTTCTTCATCTCTATATTTTTAAAGACTTCTATCTTTTATTTTATGTGTGAGTGTCTGCATGCATGCATGCATGTATGTATGTATATACTGTGTACTTGCCTGGTGCCCAAGGAGGCCAGAAGAGGGCTTCAGATCCCTCAGAACTGGAGTTAAAGGTGGTTATGAGCCACCTTGGTGCTGGCACCCAAACCCGGGTACTCTGCAACAACAGCCAGTGCTTTTAACAACTGAGTCATCTGTTCAGTTGTGCTCTCCCCACTCCCCAGTTCTGTTTCAATTTAAGATTGTTCAAAGGACAGAAAGTAAATATCAGTGGGGTACTCAGCCACACGTAAAACATGTATTTCACACCTCCCTCTCCAAGAAGCAGGGCCTATTTTGGACAAGGGAACAAAAAGATTATAAGAACCAAAGCTTGGAAAAGACCAAAAAAAAGTGTCTTTTGGATGCGATAGGTCCTCTGTACTCTTTAGTTCATATCCAGTTGTGGTTGCTGGGATAAAATTAAACTAGTCAAGACACTAGTATGAGTGGGAAAGGAGGTTTGTGAGCCTCCCATTGCAACTGAGTATCTGTGGACAACTGATGTCTTTTGGGGGTAGTGTCCGTTTCCTTAGGAGTGGGGTCCATAAACAGTCAACCATGCTTAAGTGGATGGCCCTACATCCATAAGTGTGTGGATAGCACAAATTGGAGTTGAAAGAAATAAAAATCTATTTAAGGGGTAGAGATGTGATTCTTCTGTTAGTGTTTGTCTAGCATTCACATAGCTCTAGATTCATGCCCTAGCACTGCATAAAACTAGGCATGGTGCATATACTTGTAGTCCTGCCAACTAGGAGGCAGAGGCAGGCAGATCAGAATTTTAAGGGCATCCTCTGCTACATACATTAGCAACTTTGAAGCCATCCTGGGCTTCATTAGAGCCTGCCTCAAAAACAAACAAACAAACAAACATTGAGGTCTAGAGGGATGGCTCAGAGGTTAAGAGCAATTGTTGCTCTTGCAGTGGATCTAGGTTCAATTCCCAGCACCCACACAACCGTTCATAACCATCTGTACCTTCAGTTCCAGGGGATTTGACATCCTCTTCTGACCTCCTGGGACACCAGGCATACAAATGGTGTACATAAAGTTCAGAAAGAGCACTCATACACAGAAAATAAAATAAATCTTAGATATTAAATACTAGAAATCAGGGTGGTGGTGGTAATATGATTTGGTCAAGTGTAGTCTTATATGTATGTAATTTTATCATTTGGTTGTCTGAGGTTGGATGGTTGTTTGTTTCAGTTCATCCATAGCAAAACTCATCTTGAAAAAAATGATAGAGAAGGGGCTCGAGAGATGGCTCAGCAGTTAATGTTGACCTTGAGTGTAAACCTGGTTCCAGGAAATCTGATGACCTCTTCTGTTACCGTATTCAGTGCACAAACCAATGTACATACACATACACAAAATTTTTAAAAGTGTAAAGGTGAAAGAGGGAAGGAAGGAAAGTTGGTTTATTTGATCATTGAGGTTCAAATACGGTCTCAAGAAGTAAAATGGTATTTTAGTGAATTATGGAGGTCTTTCCGTAAATATTGCATGTATTACTTATGCATGTATTGCATAAGTAATACATAAAAAAATGAAAATCATTGCTTAATTCCTTACTGAGTTATCCACTTAAAAAAGATACTAATCTATGAAAATCTAAACAGGTATTCTTTTTAAGCTTTGCTTATGATATGTTTACAGGAGTTTGGCTCTAGTGTATTAACTAACACTGGGAGCTTTGAAACTTATTTTGTTGTCTATCAGTTTTGTTGTTGTTATGTATTTTATTATATAAAGCATCTAGAATGAAATATATAAAGATGTTCTTCATAGCATTATTTTTTTACAGATAAAATTTTGTAAATAACCATATGTTTAATAATAAAGGAACAATTAAGTTATTTTAAATCTATTAATGTTAAATATCCATCAAATTTTTATAAGTAATCTTTAATTATATGTAAAATCATCTTATAATATAAATTAAGTATAGGGCATATTTACATATTTGCAGTTATATCTAGTTGACAGATATATAACAAGATATTCTTACTTGATACTTGCCAAATTTCTCATTATGAGATGCTGGTAGCTAGGAAATAAACTATAAACAGAAATCATTGAATTAAGTAATTGAAAGGTTATGAATTAGTTAATGGCTTAGTTGAATAAGTAATTAAAATCTAAATTATTTAACTTTTAATAAAAAGTGTGTTTAAACTTTTTTTTTTAGGTTACTATACATAATGACAGTTATGACATTCTTTGTGGTAAGGATTCTTTTCTCCCTTATGTTAACTTACTTATGAAATACATTTGAAAGGTTTTATTTTCAAAGTCACTCTCAGTTTTAATTTTTTGATGATGTAGTACCTATAGTACCTACAAAGAGATACACAGCTTTGTGAACTGAGAGGCTGTATAGTTTCATTTATACTTAATATCACAAATGTGTCTACTTTGACTCTAACTTTAATATTGGATTAGGGAATTGTTCTTATTCTTTTTCTTTTATATTAATTTGTATTTGATTCCTTATTACTTCAAAAAGAAGTAAGACTAAAAGAAACTAAGCTTTGATTGCCACAGATATTTTTTTCCTTTCTTCCCTAAAATGTTTCAGTGTAGACAGTAAAGTGATTATGGAGTCTAGGAGTCTGTTTCATTTTTAGTCAAGGTTTTAACTTTATGCCTTTGTTTGTTTGTGCTCTTTTGTTATAGGAAGCTTAACAAACTCCTTGACTATCCCAGATTTTGAAGAATCCATGAATAATTGTGACCAATCTAGCCTGAATGTGGATAATATAAAGTATTCTGTGTGGGTTTCTTTCTTTGAGATTTACAATGAATGTATTTATGATTTATTTGTTCCTGTATCATCTAAGTTTCAAAAGAGAAAGATGCTACGCCTTTCCCAAGATGTAAAGGGCTATTCTTTTATAAAAGGTATATAAGCAAACATTTTATTTTTTGTTCCAAAGTTCACTTCTAGGTTTTGTGATAGCTATAGATAACAAAGAGGAAGTTTATTTTCTTTTTAAATTGGTATTTTTGTCCAGTATTAACATCAAGAAAATAATTAGTTTGTGCTTTGGAAGTATGTTTTTTTTTATGTTTATTATAATTGAGTAGAAAAGGGTTTAGCATGATTGTTTTTGCTTGAATGTTAATTTTATTCATGGTGATAAAATATAGGGTGTTCTAATACTTATTATTTTACTTTGTATTTAGAACTGTAAAAATGTTACTAGTCTTCTGTGACATTAAATACTAAATGTTTTCATAGCCCTATCTTTTCATGTCTTGTGGAATAAGGAATAGCTCAGTTGGTGTTCTAGGTTGTGTGACCAGCAGAAAGATTTTATGTGGTACTAGGGAAATCCTTTGAAAAGTTTATACGGTAACACAAATGTTACTTTTTTCTAAACTAGTGCATATCTTCTTTATTTTTTAAAGATCTGCAGTGGATTCAGGTATCTGATTCTAAAGAAGCGTATAGACTTTTAAAACTAGGAGTGAAGCATCAGAGCGTTGCCTTCACAAAACTGAACAGTGCTTCTAGCAGAAGGTAAGTAGGGGACAGTCCTGAGACAACCACAGTATTCTGTGTAAATACACATAGCTTTACATGGATGTGTCAGTGGGTTTCTGTGAAATGTCCTGGGAATTTGTAGGCATGACAGCCACCTAGTGATAAAAAGTAGTAGTTGATTTGTCAGAACATTAGTTTTCCCAGTTTGCAGGATGTTTCTGAAGCATTTGTACTCTCCCTTTATGTCAGTTTCCTGGATCATTTTCCCATTTGCTTAAGTGGTGGCCTTTTCTCTATGTCTTACCGTAATATTACCATTTAGAAAATGATTCAGGCCATAGTCTCAGGGGTTTAAAGGAGGAGGTTCATGATGCATGGGATTATGAGGTAGGAGACAGAATAAGCTTTAGCAGTGAGATGCTTAAAATAATTTCTCTTAAGGAGGAAAAGCCCTGTCTCTACATTGAGATTGGCATGGGGTGAAAATGATCTATAGCAGCCTATGTATAGGGTAGGTTTTTGTTTTGCTTTAGGTATATTTTCAAAGAATGTAGCTGTTCACCTCAGTATTTTCACTAGCAGTGTGATCTCTGTAAGAACATTCATGTTTTCCCCCATAGTCTTGGAGATTGACCCCGGGGCCTTTATGTTCACTAGGCAGCCATTCTACTCACCTAGATCCATCTCCAGGCATCTTTTTCCTTTACTTTTAAACAGCATCTCACTCAGTAGCCCAGGCTTGCCTTGAACTTTAGATCTGTTTGATTTATTCTCATGAGTAGCTGCATAGCGAGTGTTAGTGCCAAGAAGGGAATGTTTGAGGGATATGGGGTTTGGCAAGTGCTAAGGTGATGCTAGATAGTTGGGCACTGGTTGGTGACAGCGGAGTGTGAGGCTGACATATCTGGCCGATAGTTGCAAATTGTATGTGTGGTTGACGGTAGATTAAACTAGGGCGAAGAAGTCTATGTTGTCTCCTGTAGAATACAGGCACTGAAATTGAATGATGATACTTACTCTTTGTGTTCCTTCTTTTAGTCACAGCATATTCACTATTAGAATATTGCAGATAGAAGATTCTGAAATGCCTCATGTAACTCGAGTTAGTGAGTAAGTTGAACATTCTTTAAATTGTAGTTATTTTGAAACATTTTGAAAAAATTTACAGTAACCTTTTCTTGGGGGGGGCTTTGACTTAGATTGTCTTTATGTGATCTTGCTGGTTCAGAACGAAGCATGAAGACACACAATGAAGGTGAAAGGTTAAGAGAGGCTGGAAATATCAACACTTCTCTTTTGACTCTGGGAAAGTGTATCAGTGTTCTAAAGAACAGTGAAAAGTCAAAGTAAGTATCATTAGTATAAATATAAATATCAAAAACTTTTAAGTGTTTAACTTAGCTTTCTTTAGAAAGTACTTTCTCCAAACTTTCTCGCGCAGTGACTGCAGTGATTACTTTTCATAGCAGACATACTCTGACACTTAGTCTCTGGTGCTGCTTCAGCATCTCATACTTCTTTGTGTGTGTGTGTTCCTGAGACATGGTCTCATGTAGCCCAGGCTACCCTTGAACTCAGCATGTACTGAGGATGACCCTGAGCTTGTATTCTTCCTACTTTTACCCAAGTGGGATTGCAGATGTGCACCGACACATCTCCTCATGTGCTGCTCTTGACTGAATCAGGACCTGTGTGTTGGAAGTAACCATTTGGTCAGCTGAGCTACACACACCAGCCTGCAGCTGCTTTACTCTTACTAGTTTATTATGTGCATTCTTGTAGGTCTGACAGAATTCTGCATTAGTCACCTCTTTAGGGTGATTAAATGATAGATTAATTAACCTTCACAACTTTAGTTAAGGTATTTTATGATACGTGTCATAAAATTACTCTATTCTTGGGAATACAGTTTAGTGAAATGTGATTTTTTTTTGACATTTTGCATACTAGGTTATTGTATTGTTCTTACCAATTTTTCTTAAAACAGAGGGAGACAAGAGGAAGTGAGTAAACCTTTTATTAGCAACCCAGCTTGAGGAGACTATTATTTTCTTTAATTCTGGGAGTCTGTTCTTGGCCTGGCATATATTAGGCAAGAGCTCTCATACTGATTTGTAACCCTATATGAAATTTATTTAAACTTGCTGTGTTTTCAAAATTTCCCATAGGTTTCAACAGCATGTGCCTTTCCGGGAGAGTAAACTGACCCACTATTTCCAAAGTTTTTTCAATGGTAAAGGGAAAATCTGTATGATCATCAACATTAGTCAGTGTTGTTCTGCCTATGATGAAACACTCAATGTATTGAAGTTTTCAACCATTGCACAAAAGGTAAATGTATTTGGATTCATGCTAAATTTATGAACATCTCATAGAATATTAACTGCTTTCCTTGAAAGAATGAGTATTTGTGGTTTGTTTTGTTTGCTTTGCCTTTTATTTTATTTTAGATAGGTTCACTATTGCCCAGCCTGCTCTAGCAATTGCAGAAATCCTCCTGCCTTTGCTTCTTCAGTGTGATACTACAAGTGTGTGCCACGATGTCTAAGTAACAGTTCCATGAAATAAGTAATATTTTGTGTCTGTTACTTTAAGCCTAGGAAATATTTGAAAATAAAATTATAATTGTTTAATTATCTAGAAAAACATAGAGAAATCTTGAACTTTGTCCCTGAAAGGAGTAAAATGACATTTACTACTAAGTATTAGTCATAAATGTAAACTATAGATTGATTGATTATAATTATGGGGTGTGTGCTGTTCATCTGATTTATGAGTGATGGCCATCAGAATGTCTTTGCTAGAGACAATATAAAGAGTTCAGAGAGGCGAGGTTAGCTCTAGATAGCATGCAAAGTAGACTTTTCTTACCACAAAGTTCACTTAGTGATGCAAATTTCTTTTTTAAATGTTTGTTTGCATAGCTTTAGTATTGTCATTTGCCTTAATTTACAAAGTTAGGCTTGTTGCAGTAGCTTACACCATTAGCTCCAGCATGCGGGAGCAGAGGAAGGTGAGTTCCAGCCAGGCTGATGCTACACAGCGAAACACTTTCACTTCAGTGAAAAAGTTGTTGCCTTTTGTCTTCTAAAAGTCATGTTGGATATTTTAACAGGTGTATGTTCCTGATTCTTTAAGTTCGTTTCAAGAGAAGTCTTTTGGGTCCATTAAATCTTCTCAAGATGTATCACTAGACAATAATTTGGATAATAAAATACTAAATGTAAAAAGAACAACTGTTGCATGGGAAAATAGTTTAGAAGATCTGGTTGAAAATGAAGATTTGGTTGAGGGTTTAGAAAAAAATGAAGAAACACAAGACATGGAAACTGAACTTACAGATGAAGACATAGATGAAACGTTAGAGGAATGCAGACTCTTCAAAAATCATAAGAACAAGGTATCATTAGGAACTCTTCTTGGCTTATATGTTCTGCAGTTTGGTTTCATTCTTGACCTCTTTTTTTGTGCATATATGTAATCATGTGAATGTGTGCATGTAGAGGTCAGAGGTCAATGTCAAGAGTGTGTTTGTGTGTGTGTGAGAGAGAGCTTGAGCACACAAGCACTTGTGCCATGGTGCTCCTGTGGAGATCACAGGACAACCTCTGGTGCTGGTCATAGCCTTCTCCTCGTCTGAGAGAGCTCTCTGGTCCTCGGCTATTGCATATGCCAGGCATTCCAAACCTTGAGATCTGAGGCCTTGATGATGTGTACTCCTGCATCAGCCTTTGTATCTTGATTGTTCTTGGTTTCTGGGGTCTGAACTCTTATTCTCATGCTTACATGGCAAGAACTTTAACTTCTGAGTCACTTTTCCTTTTTCTGTATACAGTCTCACTAGGTAGCTGAGGCTTGCCTGGAATCCACAGAGATCCACTTGTTCCTTCTGAGAGCTGGGATTAAAGTCATAGGTTACCATTCCCCGTGAATAGAACACTTTTGGTTCTTATGTTCCCTGCTTATGAAAGTGCCGTCAAACGCATGGAGTTGTGTGGGTAAAATGAAATGAGACATAACTCTACTAAACAGTGCTTAGTGGAAAATAAATGCTCAGATTTTTACAGTACATGTTTTGTTAGCTTGACAGTGAAACAGTTTTTTACAGATTTGTCTTTAAGGTATATATGTATATATATATACACACACACAGATCTATAGGTTTGTTGTTTCTAAAATATGGAGAGGCACACTTGATTTTTCAGGTTAAGGGCTCTGTAGTTGTATAATTTTCAGTAAGCCTATTAGCACCATTAAAAAGGACACAGTTATAATTGACTAAACTATAATAGCTATCTTTGAACAGTCTGTTATATTTCTTGTGGGATATACTTGGTCTTTAATAAGAAATATATCTGCTTATTTAGAAACTGTTGGATTTAATAGAAAACTTGAAAAAAAGACTAATAAATGAAAAAAAAGAAAAGTTAACATTGGAATTTAAAATTCGAGATGAAGTTACACAGGAGTTCACTCAGTACTGGACTCAACGGGAAGCCGATTTTAAGTAAGTTATTTCTTCATGACCTGGCAAGCATTGAGATTTATTTATTTAATAGCTATTTCTTAATTTATGTTAGGTGATTACTGAATGCACAAATAGATGTTACACATGATTATTTAAATTGCTCTCTTAATGGAATTAATTTATGTTTTAAAGGGAGGCACTTCTTCAGGAACGGGAGTTATTAGAAGAAAACACTGAACGCCGCTTGGCAATCTTCAAAGATTTGGTTGAAAAATGTGACACCCAAGAAGAATCAACAAGTAGAATTTGTGCCATGAGAGTTGAAACTGAAGTATGTCAATGAAAATATTAAGAATAATCAGAAAGGCTTTTGGTACCAGGATTTAATACCCCATATCAATCATGAGAAGTGTTAATATTATGAAATATTAATGTTTAAAATTAAAATAGTACTTTGTTACTTTACTGTAATGAGACCAGTATTATTGGAAATTTATAGGTAAATAGGTAGTGTTTGGGGTGTGTTTCTGAGACAAGCCTTCATTGTATGTATAGCCCAGCCTGGTCTGGAACTCCAGTCCTCCTATTTTGTTTTACTGCGTACTGAGATGACAGGTGTGTCACCTTGCTAGACACACAAAAAGTTTAAAGATAACCTTTGTTTTTAGAAAAACTTAATTCTTGGGGCATTTGTTTCCATTTCAGTTTTTCTTGAGTCATTTTATTGCTTGTAGGCAGTAACAGTCATTTGTGCTGGCTTACAGAATACCGCTTTTTGAAATGTCTTAAATTTATGAAGAAAAATTAAAGATGTAAAGGAGACTGTAAAGAGTCACTTACTTAGTTGTTCTGATCAAAACAGAAACATTTAGATATGAAAAGACTTGCTTTTGTTAGAAAAGTACCTTAAGGAAAATTGATCAGTTTTTGCTGTCCCTACTGAAGCTGATAAGGGTTTTTTTGGAGGGATTGTTTTTGTTTTCTGTGAATATGTGCTTTGTTTCTCAGCCACTGGATTCTGTGGTCTGGGCCAAAGATCTCCAGGCTCTCACCGTCATTCCATCCTGTTGTAATATGAACATGGCTTGGAATGTGGACTTAGGCATAAAAATGGAGGCTGCTTTCTTAGGTTACTGTAAAATGCCATGTAAGACTCAATATGTGATTGAAGGTATACTTGAATGAGGTAATCAGAATTGCTCTGTAATGCCTTACTGAGATTTATGATATATTCCTGAGGAAATTAACTTCATATTCTATATGAAAAGAATATTGAAGCACAAGTTTTCTATAATTGTGTGTGGGGGGAATCATGTAACTTAAAGGATTTTGAGTTGTGGATTTTGCTGTTTGTAAACTCTTGAAAGTACCACATGTAGTGAAGTCGCTGTTAATGTTAGACATATGGTTTTTGCTATTTTTAGGAAGCTCATAATTATGTAGGAGTTGAAGATATTATTGGTTCTCTTCAAGATGATGTCACTGATATTAAGAAACAGGCTGAACTTGCTCATTTATATATTACATCTCTTGCTGATCCCCAGGAAGCTATTGCTTGTTTGCAGCTAAAGTTTAATCAAGTTAAAGCGGAGTTAGCTAAAACTAAAGAAGAATTAACTAAAGCCCAGCAAGAACTAAAAAATAGAGAGAGTGGTAAGTACATGTAGTTTACCCTTATTTGGCTTTTATAAGTACATAAAGACTGCTGTTGTCGGCTGTAGAGATTTGTGCAGCTTTTTAATCTTAGTGGCCTGAAAATGCTTTAAACTACATAACACCTCAATGTATTTACCATTTATATTGTGATTTACTACCGAAATATTTTTTAGGGCTGGGCAGTTAGCTCTATAAAGTTGGTGCTGTGGAGTAAGTATAAGACATGAGGCTGATTCCCCAGACCCTCTACAAAACAAGCTGCATATGGCGGCATATGTTTGTAATCCCAGTGCTGGGGACATAGACAGGGACATGTCCTTGGAACTAGCTGACTAGTCAGCCTAGTTAATTGAGCCCAAGCTCAGTTAAGGGATTGGCTCAAAAAGAACAAGGAGTACAATGCGTAAGGAAGGAAACTTGACATTGACCTCTGTCTTCTGCAGATGTACAGGTGTACATGACCCACATGCGCACACATGCGCGCACACACAAGAAATAAAAATAAAGTAGTTTTTAAATATTTATTTTTAGGTCAGAATCATTAGAGAAGACTTCTCAAAATGAGATCAAATAAACAGAAAAGCAACCCAGAAATAAAACAAGAGTCTTCTCTTTATCTTAAAGGAAGTTGTAAAAAAGTTAGATTTGTTCTTTTATATTTTTTTATGAAATCTTTACATAGAATAGTTGGAGATAGGAAGGAATCTTTTGAACTGATACTTCATTTGCTCTCTAAAGGGAAAAAATTACCCCCCCCCATTTGTGGCATTTGGTTTTTTTTTTTTTTTTTTTTTAGTAATTTTTATTTTTTTCTATTAATCACAGGTTATTTACTTTGTATCCCAGCCGTATCCCCCTCCATCACTTCCCCCATTCCCCCTCCCCCCC